CCTTATCATGTTATGTGTGTCCATTCCCTGACTGTCCATTCCTTATCATGTTCTTCCTGTCCATTCCCCGACTGTCCATTCCTTATCATGTTATGTGTGTCCATTCCCTGACTGTCCATTCCTTATCATGTTCTTCCTGTCCATTCCCCGACTGTCCATTCCTTATCATGTTGTTCCTGTCCATTGTCTCTTGGCCCCTTGTCTGTCCACCCTAATTTTGCCCCGAGTCACATCTTCACAGTGAACCACAGATCAGGATGATCCCAATGGCTGCGATCCAGGGGCACGTACAATGCCTGAGTTTGGCCAGCATGTCCATTCTCACATAAATCTCATTCTCTTTGTGGCCAGTTGACCAGGAACAGCTTGCCACACTATTTATCCAGCTTCAAATATAAAATGTTCACACAAACGTTTCTGTCAAAGTGATTTTCCCAGTCAGCCCTGCTGTGAAGCCGATCGGAAAACCAATCAATGAGGTAACTCTGCAATTCCGTATAGAGATTAGATGGAAATAGGAAACTTAAGGCAGGTGGGGCAGTCATATCTCAACCAACCATGACATTGCAGAAGAAAAATCGTATCTGTAGGTATGGTGATAGTCAAGCACATGGACTTATAAGCTGATAGTTGCCAGTCAAAGTCCCAGGAGAAGCCGCTCTAGCGCCATTCAGTGGACTATAAAGCTGTGCGGCCCACTGTCAGACTCCACTGGAGCAGGTGAGGTGTCCGTTTGCCCATTTAGGCTGTATTTTAGGCCCCGGCCAGCTCCTTTGTCTACCTGGGTCTGTTATAAGCTTGCTGCAGTCGGCTGGCTTAGCGAGATAAGCAGCCTCGGTGCTGGGGACCAGTGATAAGAGGGTGGCTGTGCTAATGACAAGCAAACTTTGGCACATGAGGGCAAGGATTATTTCACATTTTTATTGTAAAACACTGGGCAATATGCCATTTTACTATTGAAATTTATGCACTCAGCTAGTTTGTTCTAATTCAGTTTATATAACTGATATTGTTTTACCTAAAATACATGTGCTAGGTAGCTATCTATTGTAATTATAGATTGATACCATGTAATTATTGTAATTATAGATTGAAGCATGCTTTCTTATATTGTCTATTTCTATATCCATACTTAATCTCCATATGGTCTCTGCTTGGCCTCCTAGCACCACACGTCACACTGAAAACGTTTGAGAGCTGAAAGACCTGGAACCAGACTCACTCTACGCAAAAGATGATCCACCAGAGCAACACACGTCCCCTGCACCAGTACTCATTTTTCCTAATATATAAATATGACACTATTCCTAACACATTCTCTTCAGACACTATGGTTTGTTAAGTCACTGTTAACCACCATTATGACATCACGTCTAAATCGACAGTATAAAAATAAACTGACTTTATTTGGTATTAGTGTCAGAATAGCTTCTGTGGGTGGACTGTCTCTAATTGCTAGTAAACAGAGCGGCTTAACGGGGATTGAGCAGCTGCTTTTTGGCATTTGGTGTCAGTTCACATAAAACCCCCGAAGAAAGGAGATGGATGACATGAATCTATAGGCAACATTGTAAAAGGTTTGAACACTGAACTGGTTTACTGAACTGGGTTTAAATCATTCGTGAGTCACTGGAGAAGAGACGAAACCTGAATATAAAAATGGAAGTCCACTTTATCTACTTTATAAACACAAACCCTTACGTATCTGTTTTATCCATATGTAAAGATCTTTATGAAGGAGAAGAGTAGAATGTGATTTCTTTAATGGTATGACTAAGCATTCAGGTGTAAGAGATAAGAATTGACAGATATGGTTATCGCTGATGACTGAAATTTTTGTATAATTCTAGTTTTATAATAAAATATGGAAAGTTAGCTACCCTCAAACTCTTTGCATAATTTATTTAAAAACAAAAGTAACGTATATTTATTATTAATGTATGTTGTTGATCCTCCATTATTTAATTATCTTGAATATTTTTATTTTCACATTCATTATCACTAACCTATGTCCAAGCTAGAAGACTGATGAATGGAATATTCATTCAGTCAATAGGTAGCTGATTCCAACATAAAATTGGCAAAGGTTCCTCTATGATTCCATCCGCAGACACATTCTAGGCCTATCTAGCACAGAGAACTGACTTAGTTCCTTTAGAGAAAATCGCAGTTAACTGATTGGTTTAAAATTTTGGTTAGTAAGATGTCAGAAAGTTCGCTAATTTCCGCTAATCACATACGAATATAGGGCGACCACCCAATCCATGTCAGGGGGACACTGTGAGCTAGGACAGGGTTTGTAAACTACCATTTCAATTAAAAAGCTTGCTGTGTGCTGATTGGTCAGTGTCCTCTAATCATGCATGTGTCACTAATGTTAATGTGAAACAGCTGGATGAATCTTTCAATCAAGGAAACAAAGCAGTTGAAGCACAAGAAAAATTGAAGTAATTAGCCAAGCATAGTAGCCTTTCAGTTTTAAAGTAGTTTGTAAAACTTGAAGTAGCTCGTAGTGTCCACCTCCGACATGGATTAGGTGGTCACCCCCTACGAATACTATAAGATGCAGAAATGCATCTAGTCGGAATTTTACATTTTTAAACACTGACATGATATACAGTAGGTAGAATTTACCAGACATACAATGTAATATAGAGATTCTTAGTAATGAGCTGCATATGCTGAATTAGAGTTTACAATATATTTATAAACCTGATGAAACAACAGGTAATCTTTCAAATACAGCAAGATGGCTGAATGCATTTTTAGGATGTAGAGAAAATGATATGAAAGCAGACTTTGTTTTATTTTACTTTTAGAGGCATTTAATGATTGAGTACACAATAATACACACACTTATGAATAATCGTTTTACAAATAATTTAAAATCTAATTTGAGTTTTAAAATCCAGAAAAAAAAAACGTTCAGGCACTGGATATGCACACGCTGGCCAGAAGGAAAATGGCCACATGGGGGCGTCCATAACCAATGCACAGTCATGAACCCATATTTAGCTGCATTCTGCATTGTACGACAGGTTCTCTGCGCCTCAGTACATCTATGACCTTTTAGACCAAGAGAAACCGCTGTCCCCTTACATCTTGTCTACTATTCAGACAGCTCCGATGATTTGACCCCCCTCCCACCACGGAATCAAAAGCAGAAGAACTCCAAAGGAAAGAGACTACTGCATCAAGAAGATCAAGCCGGCCAAACTAGGGCCGGGGGTAGATTTAGATCGCAGAGCAGTATGCGTGTTTGTGTGTGCACCAGCAGTCTGTTCTGCAAGCTTGTAGCTGCTCTCAGGCTGCAGGAAGGTGATCAGTCACAGAGCAGCATCGACCTCATGACTGCTGATGTTGTCTGGCTGCCAGAGGTAGTCTGAAGATGACTTCTGGTGGTGCATCAACCGTTGTGTTAACATCGAGATCTTGCAGCCCAATCTGGTAGGCTGCGATCATCCAAAACCACAAATCACTGGCACAGCTCTGTAACTGCTGAAAACTGCATTTTCTTTGGTAGAATTAATTACAGGCCCTTCCTCTTCCTGTTCTTCCAGATTCTGGATGATGGGGGTGACCACACCCAGTGGATCTTCAGGACATATCCCAAGAAGAAGATCAAAGGAACTGTGACAGAGAGCATACCTGTGGTCTGCAGATGAGGTGCCGCTTTACAGTAGTGAAGGAAAGACTCAAGGCACAACTGCATAACACCATAGTCTCTGCACTAGGGCCAGGGCTCCATCTAGTGGCAATTTAATTAATAACTGCAAAATTTTGAATTTCTGCCAGTACTCTGCGCCCAGGTTGTAGCAGCTGTACATAGTTGGGAAAATGTGTGTTTCAGCCATGAACGCCAACAACAATGAAGCAGATGTTTAATAAGTTCTCCTTCGGCCAGGAGTCCATTCTGCTTGGGTGGGTGGAGATCTTGAATTGGCACCCCCTCTGGGGAGAGTTTACCTATCTGTGGTTTCAGACAGCATAACATGCCACATACACACCCTTTCGGTATATTTCATTTTGAGTGTTATGGCATTCCATAGGTCTGTCTACAGTATAGGTATCGCCTGTCACCAGGCCAGTTCTGCAACCTTCTTCAAATTGCTGGTGATGTTGCAGAAACGGCAAAATTAAGCTCAGTTTAGTTTTTGGGTATATCATACGTGTAAATCTCTGCCTGCTACAAATTCACAACTTGAATTTCTACAATTGATTATTTTGTACGTAGAATTATAAACGTTCACATGGGCCTATATCAGCTCATGGCGACGTTAAAAGTTGTAGACCGGGGGGCGGCGGTGTGCTAAATTGGCACCCCCTCAGAAGATGCCACCCTGGGCGTTTGCCCACCCTTACTAGGATCAGCCACTGCACATCCATTCTGCGACACGTCGTCATTTTTTCTTTGGTTTGGGCGCATGACAACCCGTGAGATTTTCATCTGAAAAAGGTGTAGACTTGGCAGCTGCATATCTGTCTTTACAGATAAACATACTTACGTGCGAAGCATTTGACCTGTTATAATAAACACTTGATCTCTGGCTAAAACAGCTAACATTCAAGCACATTTTTATTACGGAATTTCATGAAATAAACTCTAGCGTTTTAAATAAGAATACCTACATTTCCCAGCATGCAATGTCATCGACTCTAATGCTGACGGTTATTTCCGGCGACCAGATGCAGATGGGGGTTTGCTTCTGAAAAGTTTAAGAATGGGCACCTTTATAAATGTTGTATTCCTTTTTGGCGTTTGCATTCCCTCAGCGACTGCTTTGATCGAGGGGTTATATTGTGGCACAAAAATATGCTACGATGTCCTTGGAGTTACAAGAGAGGCTACCAAATCGGAAATTGCCCGTGCTTATAGACAGTTGGCCAGGAGATATCACCCAGACAGATTTCGCGTTGATCCAAGTCTGGAGGGGGAAACCAGAGAAAGTGCCCAGCAAAAATTCCTGCTCCTGGCAACAGCTTACGAGACGCTTAAAGTAAGTACTAGTAAGCAAGTAAATAGAACTACTGACAAAGCTGAGCAACACACGTGTTCTATAAAACTAGTCAACAGCTATTTATAAGAAGTATGTATCGAATTGCTTTCCATGAAAATGTTTACTAGTTAGCTAGCTATTTACGTTGGTTTATATAAAACATTTGATAGTGACAGAATGAAAATTGCATATTTAAATGCTACTAGTTTATTCATCGAATATTCTTAATTATAATACTAATAAATTTGTGTTATTAATATGAATTCACACAATCCCACAGGATGAGGAGACTCGCAGGGATTATGATAATATGCTGGATCATCCAGAGGAATACTACCGTCATTACTATGCGTACTACCGCAGGCGGCTGGCGCCTAAGGTCGACATCAGGATAGTGATCCTCGTAACTGTCTGTGCTATTTCAGTCTTCCAGGTAATTGGTTACGTTTTCTGCGATTTGGGCATACCTTCTGTTTCTTTCTGGAAAATGTTTTCATACACAAAATGTTAAATGTAAGGTTCAAATGGAACTTGTATTCATGCATGTAATGATAAAAATGTAAAATTGACAGTAGATATATCCTTGATTCTATGGTTCTCCAGCTACACTTGGTACCATTAGTTTTCACCAAGGTGAAATTATGTAATAATTAAAGCTATAGAGAAGGGATACATTTAATCATGATGATATATAACAGCATAAAACATATGAATATGTAGTAATACCACAATCAGCATTTTACAGATATATATCAAATGACAACTTGCCTGCTGTTTTAGCAATTTATTCTATTGTTGCAGTTTACTGTTGGCTGGCACACAGCAGATAATAATCAGTATACCAGTGATTCACCTGGGTGAGCAGAATCACAACAAATATATAACCACCATGCTTTTTAAAATCTAATTTTACTTCTTATCCTGTAGAGAAGATATAAGAAATCTGATTTTTATGCCATAATATGTTTATTATCTTGTTTGTTTTTGGCAGCTTGTTTTGTGCTTGTTCTCTTCAATGTTTATATAAAGTTTGGTGTATGGCAACCACCAATGGGTGTGATCAATGTTATTGGTAACTCAGTATTATTGATAAACTAACAGTTATTTGAATCTTCATGTTCCATATTCCATACATCATGCGTAGCTTGCATGGCTAGGCCTGGGCAAAGTTGTTTGGTGAGTTTTTTTTTCTGTTCCAGCTTCAGAACTCGATGGTTTAACAAGGCCAATAATTCTCAAAATGGTTTGCTTCTGGTTCTTAGTTCCCAGTGAAAGGGTTGGAAGCCCCTTATCCAAGTGATGCAGTTCAAATCCACAAAGAAGAATTGTTGTAGCAAAATATTTAACTTGCAGGGCTTTGGTCAACATACAGCTGATTTATGGGTGATTATTGTAACACCAGACTTAAGTCTGAATGACATGAACCTTGCTTTTTGTTCCCCTCGAATCGCCTCAGTACTACAGCTGGTGGAGCAGCTACACTGAGGCTATCAACTACTTGTCCACTGTGCCCAAGTACCGCCTCCAAGCCACTGAGCTGGCCAAGCAGCAGGGGTTGCTCAACAAGACGAAGAAGGGCCGAAACAAGCGCTCCAAGGAGGAGCTCCGGGAGGAGGAGGAGGAGATCATCCGTGACATCATTAAAAACAAGATTGACATCAAAGGCGGCTACCAGAAGCCCAACGTCCTCGATATCCTCCTGTGCCAGATAGTTCTTTTCCCCTACTACGCTTGTGTTTATGCAGTGTGGTACTGCACCTGGGTCTACCGCTTCAACATCTGCAGAGAAGAGTACGGGCACGCTGAGAAGCTCTACATCATCCGCAAGCATATGAAGATGTCTCAGGCTCAGTTTGACAGCCTCGAGGACCACCAGAGGAACACTTTCCTAGAGAGGCAGCTCTGGATCAAGGAGAACTACCAGGTGAGTTTAAGGATCCTCACTGGTTTTATGACGCAGGTGGAGCTGCAGTGGGGTTTCAGTCACCGCTGTCTTTGGTTCCCTCGTTTGAGTAATGTGACAAACCTGAATCTATCACAGAAGTTCAGTGTGGTTCACTATGGGGAAAACAGTGTCTTCTGTGTCCTGTACATGTGTAATTATATTAATGTGTAGGTCAGTGTTTGTAGTTCAAAATTATTCTGTGCATCAATATTTATAGAGGTATTTTCTATAGACAGTAGTACCTCAGTTGACTCTCAGTAGATGAGTTATAAGTCATATTAAAATGCTACTGATAAACTTATTTTTGAGACTGTGAAGGTTCTTTGGCAATTCAGTTGCTTTGCATACAAAACAAGCTGGGCAAGGACTCCTTATCCACCTCTTGGGTTTTTGTTAGGTCTACAAGGAGGAGCAGGAGGAGGAGATGAAAGTCAAGATGGCCACAGATCCCAGGTGGAAGAGGTATCGACGGTGGATGAGGAATGGACCTAGCAGAATGACCTTCACTGAAGACTGAGGACCCTGTGCTTGGACATGCATGCATATGCTCTTCTCTCTACATATACGTACATCACTTATTTGTCATGTATGTATATGTGTGCGTGTTTGTATGCCTGTATATAAGTCTATGTAAATATCTACATACGTTTGTGTATTCTATATACATACGTGTGTGCCATATTAAAAGTTATTCGATACTGATTATAAAATATCAAAATTTTCACATTTAAATTATACCAGTAATGCCAAATGATGGCTTGGGATTTTACTCAGGAATCTGTGTAGATGGTAGGAGATTAACCCAGAAAGATGGGCTTAAGTTGCCCTTTGTGAAGGAAGCAGAGACCTTGTCTGTGCTCTGATGCGCATCTGTTACCCAGGTCCCTTCATTTGGGGTTTTTTATGAAATGAATTTTGGGTCTGTTTTGAAAAATTAGTTTTTACTACCAACCCCAGTGTTGAATGGTGTTTACCTATGGCTCCTCCTGAGGTACATACGCAGGAGCCCACACAAGGAGGCGCTGTTCTGCCCAGAATCCAACATGTAATTCCACGGTAATGTTATGAATTATTTTGGTTGTGGTTTGGAAGTTCTGATGGTGTGTCTTTACATAATAGCAGCTGCAGCACAAATTTAAAGGTTGCCTTGGAGGAAAATGGTGGCTGCACAACTGCAATCGTCACCGAAAGCTGTAGATAAGTAGGTGGTTTTTATTTTTTGTCCACATCACATATTACTTATTTTTTTAAACAAACTACAACATATGTTACCTCCACTTACTGAAGTATGTCAAAATGTGATGAATGCTGATTCCGCTGAATATCATCGCTTCCTACAGCCTTGGAGGAATCTGATATGAGGTGTATTTGCCTCAGATGTGTCTACGGAAATCCTGCTTGGGATCGTCTTCCCAGTGCCTGTATTCTTGGGTTAAGTAGTTGTTTACATTAGATCAAGGCTTCCCTGACCTGGTTCTGGGCATCTGCTGTTTAAGTTGCATTTAAAGGCATAAGGGATGGTGGAAGTTAATGTCTGACATGTTATCTTTTGAGTATCTTAGAAAAGAGGCCCGGTTCAAGATGTCAGATTATGTTGTTAGAATTGAATACATCAATCAGAAATGGCAGGGAACGCAGGACGAGGACATTCTGAAACCTTGTGTTAAAATGTCCATGTTGTACTGTTGGTGAAAACATGTCGGCAGTGTTTCCATAAACTGCGTTTCAAATAAATTGGCTTGATCCATTTTTTTGGGTGCAAAGCTGTAAAATGAATTTCTGAAGAATAAAAGTTCATACATTTATTAATAAACCAATGGGTTTTTTTTTCTAGAACTGTTGAATTACTGGAATAAAATCAACATCCATCCTTCCATCCATCCATCTATCTATCCATTGGTCCATTTTCTGTAACCGCTTATTCTAGTCAGGGTCGCAGCGGGTCCAGAGCTCAGAGGCTACAGGTGCAAAGCAGGCAACAACCCAGGATGGGGGCCCCGCATGATATAATCGTTCCATTTTAAATATGAAATATTTATATATTTTTTTATCTGCATTTTGACGTGTGGCCTGCATGATTTAAGATAGATCTACAAAATATAAGTGTCGTCTACTTTGTAACATAATTCTCTGCAATAAGTGATTTGTCTGCGCAATGAGTTTTTTTTTTTTGTTCTGTTTTTCATATAATTTAATCATTCCTGGATTGTGTTATTGTTAAAAAAAAAAAGCAGTGAAAACAGAAAATGTCAAGTGGGGACCCATGTGGTTTATATGGTGAGTATTTTATGTCCACTGTCTTCAAAATGCTCTCAAAATATGTATTCTTGTGTCCTTGGTCAATTAGTTGAACAATTTAGGAAATTGAAGTGGCAATTTTGGTGGCCCTCTCTTAGCTACCTGTGTTCAGAGGAAAGGTCCTGGAGACTTTCTGTTGAGTGGATGGATAGTTTTTATTAAAAAAAATAAGCTGAAATGGGGCTCATGCGAAATTACATTATCTGCATTCTTTCCACAGCTAATAGCTCTCAGATGAATCTAAAGCATCAGAGCATGTAGTACGTGGGATTGTTAAACCATAGTATCTTCCCAGCCGTATCGTTTTCTTGTTTAGAGAACTTAATGGTTATCTGTGATTTCATAAGTAACATTGGCAGAAGTCAAATGATTTTATTAATAAAATGAAGAACATGGCACCAAAGAGATCATCCTTGGTTTCTGTTCAAGATAGTAGCCAATCAAAGATTATTTAAAAATCTCTCAATATAATTTTGTTCACGAGAAAATCAGATTTTAGACATAAATTATTTCAATAAGCTGTATGTTGGTGTTAACCTTCAGAGTCTAAAAGGGACATAAGAACATATATCCTCCCATCTACCAACCAGTTATCCTGAGGGGTATTCCACAAAGCAGAATTTCCCAGTTAGCTGGATAACTTAAGCCAAACGTGACAACTGCCCAGTTGGAAGACAGGTAAGTGACATTCCTATTGGACAATCCATACATTTGGCTTAAGTTATGTGGCTAATGAAAAAAGTCCTGCTTTGTGGAATACCCCCCTGGTCAGGGTGATGGGGGGGGGGGGGACCTTATGGCAGGTAGCATGGGCTGTTAGTTGTTCACAGGGCGCACACACAGTCATGCACCACTTGGCCTAGATGTGTGTCTGTGAGGAATCTCGCATGACACAGGGAGAACACGCAAATAGCACACACACACACGGTGGGGGACCGTCTGCATGTGCGTGCCCTGTGATGGACTGGCATCCCATCCAGGGTGTACCAGTGGCCTGTGATGGACTGGCATCCCATCCAGGGTGTACCAGTGGCCTGTGATGGACTGGCATCCCATCCAGGGTGTACCAGTTGCCTGTGCTGGCTTGGGTAGGCTTTTTCATTTGCAAAGTTTTATTAAATATAACTGTCAGGCACTTTTGACAAAGGTCAGATGTGGTGCTTAGTAACACATTACTAATCAGAACTGACATTCTAAAGAGCTGGTTCACCTTTAGTGCTTTTCTGTACATATTCAGTTCAGTTTATTTTTATAGTGCACCTCTCAACCCTAAGGCGCTTGACAAGGGTGTGTGTTAATCCACTGTTAATCCAATGTAATCCACTTTTCCTGACCAGGGATGCAGGGAACTAACGTGTTGTAACAAAATAACTTGTTACTGTCATTTGGCCTGTTCAGTCTTAGTTATTGAGTCTGCTGCCCCTAGTGGTGGCATTTGGTTAGTGATGTACAGTTCCTCCATGTAACAGCATCCTCCATTTTTACCGGCTGTGGCACACTGTTTATCTAAGATATAATCGTCCGTTTTCACCCACTTTCATTTACCTGTGCTCAAGCACTACCAGTAAGTATATATTATGAATCCTTAAGTGATACATGTTCCTTGTTTACAGAGGAGTTTAGTTTAATAATTACTTGAGGCTTATTAGAGAGATAGTAGATAGTTACATTGATCAATCTTATCAACGTGATTCAGATTAAATTTAAGGGTATTGTAGTTTTACTTGTCATCTTTGAGGCAAATTAGGGTTTTTTCTGGATACGTGTTGTTTCTGTATGGGTTCCTAATGCAAAACAGAATATTGACATCACCTGAGCATAGTGGTATTTGCAGTTTTTCCAGGAAACTCTTGAAATATGTACCTATTCTGTTTAAGACAGGTTTTTAGCCTCTGGCTGTATTTGCAAGAACAGGGTTGAAAGGATTTTCAGGATGTTCTTATGATGACTGACTGAGTGTGAAATGTAAATGAAAATCAATTATTTGGCAAAATTAATAATTCCAAACCCGAAGTAAATTGATGTAAATCAAAAGGTATCAAGTGTGATATTAATGCTAGGATAATTTCAAATTTAGAATAAACATAAATATATGAAAAATACATCATATGAATTTCGAGTTTTCACAGTATTTATTAAATTATGTGTAGTAATTAGTCCTTTCCAGTTGGATTTTAGATTATGTTCTGGAGCAAGGGGTCCGGATGCAGACCGAACCACAAGTTAATTCGGATAATGCTGATAAAGCACCTTATGAATCAATATGGTTAATGTAAAAAGGCTTGACGTGGTTTGAAGTACAAAAATACAACATAGAACCACCAAACCTCGCACACACATAACTTGCCATGATTCCCCGCCCCCATGAGTCGAAATGATCAGTGAGAGTTAAACCAGTCTTTACCCTGTGGTCCCATTATTGTCATATATTGATTCCTATATTGAAAGGTATTGCTAATTCATTAAAGTTCATGAAATGCTGTTTTGTTCGTTGAAAATTGATCTGGACCTCGGACTTTGAACAAAATTCTGATGTGAACCCTTGATCAAACAGTTTGAGAACCCTGATTCTAGAATTATAGGATAAGCCGTAATGTGGCGGGGAACGGAAGTTCCGGTATGGAAATCGCCAAAATACTTTAATCAGAGTGTAGGGTGCTGTCCTGACGTCTTCTGCCTAATTAATTCTGTTTAGCAAGGGGATTCTGTTTTTTATGAGAAGAGGTGGGTGTCCAGAAACAGAGAAAAATAGAGAGACCTTAAACTGAGAGGGGGTTTTACTGTAAGTCAGGCTATTCATGTTTCCACCAGCAACTGCACTGAGTCAGATCTTCCTCTGTTTGAGTGGTGTCTGTCATCAGGGAGGCCCACCTGGGGCTCCCTGTTTGACTCACTGGGAGCTTCTGAGAGGCTGGAATCACACCTGAAACTGCCCCCATATCAGCAGTCTTGTGTGTCTTCATGTGTGTTCCTCTCCTCATTTGGCTCTTTTTGCTGTGTTGGCTTCTTTCCTGGATCGTCAGACTGTGTCCATTATCTGGGTGGATAACCAGACCGACTTAATAGTGTTCACCATGGAGACCAGGCCAACCTGTGAGTATTGTCACGATTCAACATAAAGAGAATAAAATTTAGAATACTAGTTCTGATGTATATGGACCTTCTTCTTGATTGCTGTATACTTTTATAGGTTTGTAGGTATAAAGTTTAATTTTGAAATGGCTTTATATACGTATTAATTCAACTGAACTGATAAGAGAAGCACCTACACTGACTCACTCTACGTTTGTTCATCTTGATCGTATCCTGTTCCTGGTAAAAGATCATGGCTGATTTTGTGCAGAATGACCCATTTGACAGAAATATGGGGCCAATAGCAGTTTAGTGCCTTGTTATAAAATGGCATGAGATACAAAGTATTACATTCGCCATTATCTTATCTGCAGAAATGAAGTTCCAACAATAACTTACATTAGCACAGTGTGACGAGAGCTGAGATTTAGTCTAAACAGATTGAATAGTTCATTGATAAGAGCGCATGTTGTACTTGTACCAAATCTTTAGGAAATGAAAAATGTATTCTTATTGAAAAAAAGTCTAAGGTATTACGGTGATATGAAATATGAATTCTCAGTCCATATTTAATATGTGGATAATTTAAATGTAAGATTCTCAAGTGGCAAATATATAAATGTACCAATGTGCCAGTTTAGCGGCACTATGGTAAATCATTTAGTCAAGGGCAATTCTAGGATTTGACCCTTGGTGGGGCTCGTCCCCCTGGAGAGATACAGGGCACCCCCCCGCTCCCCTGGGTCCCCCACAATTAAATATGTCAAGGGGGGGTTGGAGGGTCTTAGCAGCGTGTAAAAATGGGGACAAACTGCCTATATATTTAGTATATGCTAAGTATAGATGCCAAGTATAAAAAACAATATAGATATTTTATATAAACTAAAGTTATAATTAACAATCACTAGACATTGTTCATAGGCAAAGATGTTAATTGAAGAACTGTACTAGGAGTTAATACATATAATGCCTTTATGATAATAATTCGTATATATTTCATAATTGTTTTGTAGAAAACTGTCATACAATATATATAATTGTGCTGTTGCTGTATATAAAAATGTTGATGGAATAAAAGTCAAAGATGTGCCTATTTATCTGTTTGCTTGTTTTTATCTGGTCTGACTGGAAATGTCTTTTTAATGGTTTATTTTCCTTTTACTCTGGGTGGAATAGTAATATAATATTTATTTTTATGCACAATGTTAGATCTACTATAGAAGACTACCAAAATGCAGAGCCCATTTTCAGTCAGAATTCCATGCTTACTTTAGATTTTATTTCATGATTTTTATTATTTACTGAACATTGAAGTTTTTTTTTTTTCTTGAAGTGCTCCAATACTAACATCTTAATAGTTTAGAACATTTAATTAAATTTGTACAAATATAAAAATTTGGGATACATTAATGCATGTCATTGGCATTGTACTCCGCAAGTTGGCAATAAACTTAAATCTGATTCCGAGCTTTACCCTCTCCATATTTGCAGATGTACGATATAAAAGCACCGTAATTATTCTCTATGATGCAGCCACATATTGGTGCGTCTGTGAGTCCAAACCAGTGTAACCCATATATCCCAAACGATTAAATCAAAACTTGGGCCATCACTCAATCAGTTGGTGAAAAATGCCAGTGGCACGTTTGCTCATTCTTCTGCACTTACACTGAACTTTAGCTACATAATAAACTAGATAAACACCCAATCTGCTTTATAAACAGGCTGAGATGACTGACAAGGATTTTTGCAGATGTATATAACCTTCTTATCTCCTTTTGGTTAATATTTTTTTTTCCTTAATTGTGTTTCTCCTAACAACGGCATATGGTTCTGATCAGAGTGTTATTAGTGGGTTTCGTCAGTAAGCAAGTTGACATATACACCTGACCTGACATAAGCTACGCTAAGCTACGCTAAGATATGCTAAGCTAACATTAGGCAGGGCTGCCAACTCTCACACATGTGGCGTGGCACTGGTGCTTTCAGACTCTTACGGCAAATCTATATTATTATATTACAACTGTAAAATTAGGTACATCAAAAGCGTTGGGGTAGTTGCAATCCCTACAGACTATTTACAAGGTAATAAAACTGTTTTAACCCTATACATGTAAATGCGTGTGCAGGCCAGTATCGAATTCATAATGTCACTCCAGCCAGCTGACCAAAGTTGACAATCCTGCATTAGAATACATACATACATCACATAAATTAATAATAAATATTGAAATACAGTAACAATAGTACATCAATAACAGTATTAATACTGTAATAATCATACTGTAAGGTACTGCATTTATCAACTTCATCATGGAGCTGAAGTTTTCTATCTTTTCTTGTCTTGTGATGTGAGGCAGAGGGTTATTTAACACTAGAAAGACTGACTGGGTCAATTGACCCAGTCAGTCTTTCTAGTGTTAAGGTACTGTGTATGCAAGTATACAGTAACTGAAAACCAGGACTTTTTTAGGGACAGTAAAAGTGATACAATGTCAGCAACATTTATCATTTGTGCAGTCTACTAGAATATTGACTTGTATGTAGAATGTAGGAAATATCGAACATTTAGTGAGATTAATAATGCTACTGCTAACTTATTGTAATGTAACAGCACCTCTGTGTGATCCTGAGACGAGCTGGAGGACGTGTGTGCTTTGGATGAGGGAGAGGCAGAGTGTGACCCCTGTATGGTTTGCCCTACATACAATCCACCACAGAGTTCAGACACACATGCACACCTCTCTTTGTTGCACAGCTGTGCTGCCTCATACTGGAAATCACCCTCACTTTACTCTACATATACATACTGCTTTTAACATAATTTATATCCAGAAAATGCTACACCGATCTTGCAAACTGGCACATATCAGACAGAAATACTTACACTTCAAAACACCAACCATTCACAGTGCTGGGTGTTTTACTGGGAATTTTAAGGCTTTAACATGAAGCAGTAGCAAGCATCCTTTGCATGTTTGTGGTCCGGGGTTCAATGCCTAGTATTTCCACTCTTATGGGAATTTCTAGCAATGCTACCAACTATTCACGCCCCACTGCAGTTTGGAAGGAAGCATACTGGGACATAGATCCTTCCATCCAGACTCTCCAAGTTCCTTTCCTTATGCATGAGATAGACTCTCTTATATTATGATAATTGTAATTGTATTTATTGTGTTACTGGACCTGCACCTTAATTTATAGGTGCAAAGAAATAGATAAATGAACCATAATGCTGAATCTTGAATCTATAGGTACATCTGTTTTTTTCGAGGCGTACAGCCATACTTTGTACTACTCTGCTGTATCTGGTTATTCATTTCTTCACATATACAGAATGCATGTAGTTGTCTGATTATTATAGAGCTTGCTTGTGTTGTGCATGTTGTAATGTACTGGAAAATGTTCTGTACCGTGTTGCTTGTATTCCACTGTGCTGGTCCGTTTACAGGTTGCTAATGGAAAAAAAAGCAGCAACCGAAACTTCTCTTTGGACACGTTGCTCAAGGGCACTCAAGCAGATGTTACTAACCAGGGGCAAGTTTCCCCAAGCCTTCTTAACGCTACATCGTTTGTAAGTTCTATGTTAAAAGATTTACAAATGAACGACATAGCATTAAGAAGGCTTCGGGAAACGCACCCCAGAACCATAAGGTTAGTGGACTGTGTCCTTAATGTCCTGCTATATCATGCCTATTGCTAAACCATCTGCGTTTAATTTAATGCCACTTTGTGGCAATAAAATTATGATCTCTTTAATACATTATTTCATTTTATTATTTTTGTAAATGTTATATAAGAAAACATTCTCAGCCTTAGTAACTCAATACCCACCCACCCACCCACCCTGTCTGTTTCTTTCTCTCTTTGCTTGTTTCTCTCGTTCTCTGCCTGTGGTGAGGCCTGTGGTTTTGGTGTGGTCTCTTTCTTTCTGCGCTTTATTGAACGGCTCTAAGGCAAAGTGCCGATCTGGCTCCACTTCGCAAGCTGATGCAGCGATAGCATCACAAACAGAGCCTTTTTCTCGTGTTCCGTCCCCCACTTACACAGGAAAAGTGTCTTAATCGTTTGCGAACATTCGCGATCACATCTTTTGTGTACGTTCCATTTCCTAGCAACATATTAATGAGTAATGCTTTGCGAAGGATGGATCGATGGCTAAGCAGACGGAGGCTGAAAGCTGCTGTTTGTGCAGCATAGATAGTGCCACTGTCCTACCTTTACCCTGCATGTTACAGGAAGCTTTATTACTACTTTTTTCTCCAGTTAAATTCCGTTACTCATTATTGGCTATTATTAACGAAAGTGAAAATGCAAGAAGTCTAATGAATGAGATGTTTTGTGTAGGAGAGGTGTGAGGGTGTAGGAGATAAGCGGAGTGAGGGAGGCAAGATCATTTGTGGCAATTCTTTCAATGGGACAGAACCTGTGTAAAGCCAGAACCTTACACATTAGGGGTGTAACAGTCCTCGCAAATGGGACAGAACCTATGTAAAGCCAGAACCTTACACATTAGGGCTGTAACAGTCCTCGCAAATGGGACAGAACCTGTGTAAAGCCAGAACCTTACACATTAGGGCTGTAACAGTCCTCGCAAATGGGACAGAACCTGTGTAAAGCCAGAACCTCACAACAGTCCTTGCAAATGATATGCTAGAGAGGGCAGCAGGGGCAGTGTGTGGCTCAGTGGGCTAAGCCTGTGTCACAAGGTCATTGGTTCAAACCCAGCCTCAGCACTTCTGCAAGCCCTTAACCCCCCAACTCCCTGAGCACCACTACAGGTGGCTGCCCTTCACAGACAGCTTACTCCACAAAGAGCTATTTGAGGGAGGCATAAAGACAATTTCCCCAAGAGGATCAATGAAGTACTGATTATTATTAGTTCACTATCAGGTATTTTTAACACCCATTTACCCTAATTCCTAATTATACACTACACTTCTCCTTTTACACAAAATATATCCCTGTCACCACTGTCTCTATATGACACCAGTGCACAGGTAGTATTCCGCTGGGCTGTTGAGCGATGAGTGTTGGAGGGTAGATTAAATAAACAACATACTCTACAGCCGTGCCTTCTTTGACACTTGCATGTTCTGATTGCATGAGCCATAGATATGTCATACACAAAGTACATGTTTATTCAAGATTTTGAGCCGAAGTAGGACATATCACAAAATATTTTAATACATGATGTTATTAAAATATATGTACGTTTGTATTGCAAATGGAAAACAATATATACAGTTTGTACAAAAAACATCTAAAAACAAATAGCAGAAATTGTATCCATTTTTCCCACACAAAGCACAATGCTGTTTGTTATGTATTAACACATGATCTAGCATCAGTTTTTTTTCCTTTTTTTTTTTTAAAGAAAATTGTAGCATCGGCTGTAATCGTTGCCAGAGCAATATGATTGTGAGTGTGAGGCACTAAGGGGAAATCCATGGTGAGAGCTGACTGAAGCTGGGGGTTACCAGCTATCAGGACCCCCAACCGAAAGTCAACAGTGTCATGAAAAGGAACACATTTCTCAAAACATGAAACGTATGTCAATCTATGGCCACAATGATAAAATAGAAATGCTTTGACAAATACAATGACCAGCTAAAGAGAAATCTACTGTCAGTTATTACACATTTGCATTAATGTTTCATAGATTTTTATTACAAATGTTATATATAGTTTTTTTATCATATATTTTCTCTTATTCAATGTTGCTGATACAAAAATCAGGGCGTTCCCTTGGAGTGTGAGGTGAGTGGTGCATTTATGTATAACACATAAAAAAACCAGGATAAGATAGAAGATAGACATTAAAAATCTGAAGAAAAACAAGAGGAAAGAAATTAAAAAACAGTCAGAACACTCACTGTAGCAGCTAGTAATGTAATAACTGTCAATAACTATTTTTTAATACATTAATGGTAGCTAGTACATTATTGGCTGCCAATAATGTAATAACTTATTAAATAATGCAGAAACAGATATTACATTTATATGATTCAGAAATTTCATTACATTATTGGTCAGTTAAAAATGGAAAAATTATTATGTTGTTACGTTATTGGAAGTCTATTAATTTCATAATCCTATCAAATTATGCTGCAACAAACACATCTACGTGGTCACTACATTGTACTCTATATGCATTTGCAATAACAAAGTAGTAGATATGGGGAAAATACTCACTTGTCCTTATGGTGTCCAAATATCACATGAGGGGCTGCTTCCTAAGGATACAAAAAACAGAAACACTGAGATAAAGGTGAAATGATCTTAGGAAACATCACATGAGCAAAATTTTCAACTGCAAATTTGTAATTTTGAATATGTTCAACATTGGTATTATGTGTATACACACACACACACACACACACACACACAGGTTTGTAGTTATGTCTTTCTAGGGACTCTCCATTCATTTCTATGGGGAAAACCCTAATCCCAGCATGATGACCTTAACCCCTACCCAGCCCTAACCCTAATCATAAGTAACCAAACTAAATACGAGACTTTTGGCATTTTTTCGTTTTTTGTGGAGTCCTGAAAAATGATTCCCACAACGTTAAAATAACAGGTTTTCATTACATTGAGGGGAGAATTTGGTCCCCACAATGTAATATAAAAATAATCCACATACACACAATGTATGGAAGAGGTCAAATATACTGTATAACATGAGATACAATATCACGCACATTTAACTAAACCCTATAGTGGCAATACAATCTGTTTGTTTTGGTTCTTGCCACATGGCGCAAGTGGCGAAATACGTGCTGAATCGTCCACAATGTATAGCTTGGATGCCTCTCGATAAATTTTGTATATATTATATACCATAATGTTATATATTCATATTGGTTTTTCGTGGGACTGTCTGAGAGACTGACTTTGCAAACCTGTGACGACACTTCTTAGGAAGTCCTGAAAGACAAATAGAGTGGCACTGGATATAACATTCAATTCAAATACTTCACAAAGGCATTCAATTCACAATTACTGGCTACAATTCCAAAGGCATCAAAGATCAGAAAGAACTACAGTTAGCTTAAATATTACACGGAAAAACTTTAAACTGCATTCGGCTCAATTTTGAGAATAATTACTGCGACTAATTTAAATAAGAATAATTAAGAATAATTTAAAATGCTATTTTCATTCCTTGAATGTCCTTTTGTGCATTATTTACACACGGCTCCATTTAATATGCCAGATATTTTACTTACGACTGAAGTAATACAGTGTGCTGAAGAGTACTACGGCAAGACTTAGGAGAACTCCAGTCAATGGCCATAGGATGTGTCGACTACATTCTGCACAAAGCACAAAAGAAACATGGCTGTCAAGTATAAGCGTTTTACTGGACACAGTATGAGAGCATGTGCCTAACAAAAGCTGGGATATTCTGCACATCCAGCATGCCAGGAAAGCACGTAAAACCACTGCGCGTAGCTGCGTATGACTATGTCCATCACTTGTACAGCCCGTGGATATTTCGTTATTTCTGTTCATTTTCATACAACATTGTTTGCACTATGTGCATTGTCTTTGCATTTTCTCTTGAGTTATGTGTTTCATTGCTACTATATGCAAACAAATTTCCCCCTGGAATCAATAAAGTATATGTACATACATTCACATTTATCTATGTAACAGACACTTTTATTGAAAACAGTGAACGAGTCAGGCAATTATTACAAACATAGTATACTGTTACACAGTAATAATACCATTACATTTTTGGTAGCAACTGGTTCATTTTTAATGCGGACGGTGATTATGGACTAGCCGTATTTATTTCCAGCTATAATATCTATGTAAACACTGCTCAATTCCTGCCTGATGTACAGTATATGATTTTTGTGTTTGTTTTAATGCTTTAGCTATTTGTTAGCTATCTATCATTTCAAAGAACTCTTTTCCTATCCAGCTGTGGAGGACAAACGTGTTGAGAGATGAGTGAGGGATGGGTTACGGTCAGTGGGAGCTGCCTGGTTCATACCCTTCTGTTCAGGCTGCTTTTGGTTGTGACAGGGACAGGGTTTCTTCGGCGTTTTGACCACAGCTGGCGCAGAAGTTGGGGGTGTTTCTAGAAAAAACGGAGGGGAAGAGCAAAAATGACCCAAGTCATGACAGGCGAAGAACTAAAGACGCTGATGCGTCAGGAGCTTCGTAGCATTTATTCGGATGTGAAGACTGGCTCAGTAAATGAATTGTTTGCAGAATAAGATGGCCGTCAATACCAGCACATGAATGTAATACGGATATATATATATGAATACAGATTGCATATTAGCTTTTAAGAAAGTAGGGAAGGTTTGATGCGATAGAAGACCCACTTCCAGGTTGCAGGTCAACCCCGTTGCTCCCGAAATCCAAACGGTTATGGTACTGCATAAGGCAGAAGTAAAGGCCCGCGTCTTCCGTCTTTACAGACATGATCTTCAGGTTGTAGGTTATCTTCCAGTTGCCCTTTTGGTCACCCTTGAATGAATTCTCCAGCTTACTTTCTGCGTAAATGGCTCTGTTTGCATTGTTGTAGTAAAGGAGGAACTCCATTTCATGCTGGCTGTGATTATGGCGTTTCCGGAACCAGAGCACAGCCGGGCAGTTCTTTTCATTGCACTCGCAGCTAACAGTGTGGAATGTGCCCAGTGCAGGGTACTGGACCTCCAGTGCGTGTAGGGCATGGAAGGTCACTATAGTGGGAGGGAGATGAAAACGTGGAGAGAGAAGGTGACAAGCCTTTCACTGGGAATTAATATAAAAACAGGATCATGCCCATTTATGACATATAACATTTTTAAATCAATGTCCGAATGTAGAAGAATAAACTGTTCTGCATCTGGTAAGATTTATATTTTGTATCAATTATATTAATGCTTTACTGGGACTCCTGTATTCAGTAATTGGTACAAAAGATGGATGGATAAATAAACAGCAAGTTCCTAAAAAGATTTACAGATTTAAGATTTCCACCTACGTAAGTGTCACATAGAATGATGAAAAAAATGGAAATGTTGCAATCACACATGATTCAAACTCATGCAAAATGTGATACAATGTTGCATTTAAAGCTAATATGGTGATATTTTGTTGTTATAAACAATAATTTAAACGGATAATGACCCATTTCGTGAACACCATTTCACACAGGATATTATTGCAAGCAATAATGAAAATACATGTTATTTTTTATGACAAGAATCTTAAAAACCAAGTTAAATTATAATATAGTTATCGTGCCATCTCAGATGTCTACGTAATATAATAAAAACAGATTATCATGATGTCTTATTATTATTTTTTTACCAAGGCTATTGTCTAAATAAGAGGACATAATTCCCCAATTAATTTTTACAAATAAAATAATTCAAAAATACATGACTTACAACTAAGAATAATTATTAAGTATCTGAGCTGACCAATGGTATTATTGGGAGCAGTGAAATCGGTGCTATTAAAGAGTCAGATCTGTTTGAAAATCAAGAAATTATGATTTGATTACAAAAGTTAATAATGTAATAAGAATAAATTATAAAAATATTGAACGATCATATACATGATGACTCAATAAAAATGAAGCATTTAAAAAAACATTGCTACTCAAAAAATATGATAATAAAAAATTTTCTAGCGATTACAAGTATTTAACTAGTATGTAATAATATTTTGTTTTCATAGAAATGTGTTTTTATATTTCAGCACAATTAAGAGTAATAAATAAAATCAATATAAGTCATGTGCTTTGCATAATAGTTCATCAGGAAATAAGGAAAGAATTCAACATTTTACAGTGATGGCGAAACACCGGAACAGAAGTGTGTATTACGCAACGGTACAAGACAAGGTCTGGCTAAAATTTCCATTTGTTTTTTATACCCGTATTTTCTCATATGTATTAAAAACATCGAGAAAAAAAAACAAAAAAACAAATCAATACCAATTGATTAAGTGAAAGTAACATAAATAATCACATGTATTTGGTCTTTATGACCAGGATGCTCAGAGAGAGAAAAAGAGAATGAAAGAAAGAGGAAAAGACCAGAAAGATTTGTTATGAACCCAGGTAAACTCTCTCATTATCTAGCCTACCTGCTGTCCATACAGACACTGTCCACACCTGAACCAGTCGGGCCATGGTCCTGGTGTCCCAGCAGTGTTTACTGCGCTGTGTCTGCCTGACATCCAGGGTAGGGCTGATAGCTGTCTCCAACTGCCCCTCTCTCTATAAATGTGGGCTTTGTCACGTCACTGCTCAGCCAATCAATGCAAACCTTTTTCATCAGTAGAAAAAAAATGGCACACTAGTAAACTGAAAGAGAATCATCAGTGTTAAGCTTTCTAATATCACAGCTGTTTTGTAATCACACATTTTCTTAAAAAAAGGTTTTCATTTTTTTTGCCCATTATTTTGGTTAAATAGGTATATTGTAATAGACAATATAAATAAAATTTACTGCAGTACAAACTATTATAAAAAATATTATATAAATATCAAATACATTTTTTCTAACGATAAACACAAAGTCAGACCTCCAGTACGGCCTGATGAATAAGAAGGTGCATGTCAGGATGCAGTACGGCCTGATGAGTAGGAAGGTGCATGTCAGGATGCAGTACGGCCTGATGAGTAGGAAGGTGCATGTCAGGATGCAGTTCACCCAGCAGTAGTGCATGCTTGCAGACTGCAGCTCCCAGATGTCCTGGTCTGAGCCGCACAGCTGCAGGTGCACCTGCAAACCCTCACGCGCATGATACAATGACAATAAAAAACATTTTAGTGAAACATCTTGTGAAAATGCTTCAAAACATTCCAATAATGCAATTAGCAAATTACATTTTCAGTTATTTCTGTAAGTTACGTTGCACGTGGTATATCGGGCACTATGTAATATTTATATATTATATTTATAAATATAGATATATTACTTAACTGGCAGGTAATAACTATGAAAAAAATATATCTATAAACTGTTAATAACACTTATTTTAGCAGTTTTTAAAATAAAATAAGGAGAATGGGTGTATATGAAATTCCCATATGACTCTGAGGAAGAGATCAATGGGTTGAGAGATTAATTGCTACTCAAGAATGAACTGTACAGCTGTACAACATGAAGATATATATTTGAAAAATACAAGTACCGTGCTGTGTCTTTCATAAATAACCTGATCTGGCAGGGAAACAATTATTGGTTTAGTTAAGAGTCACATTGTGCGGACAAGATACTGAACAAGGCCGCCGACGAAAGGCTTGAAATTTTATGTACAAAAACAACTACAATTCATTTAAAACATTCAAACAAAATGCCCGTTTCTCTCTTTTAAAAAAAGAGAAGAACATGGCCTTGAGAGTGAATTCCTGACTTTAAATTCATGTTCAAATTGTCTTGCAATAATTTTAACTTCAGTTTTAAAAGATGGAAAGAATATTAAAATATATTTTGGAAACCATTACTTCTGAGAAGATATTTGAGATTTGTATATGACATAGCTTTTTTACTCTATGGTGTACGTATGATCCATCCATCTTTTGTAACTGCTTATCCTATTCAGGGTCACAGGGGTCTACAGCCTGTCCCAGAGGCTACAGCGCAAGGCAGGGAACAACCCAGCATGGGACGCCAACCCATCACAGGGCACATGGTGTTTACAGTTTTCACAAAATATTATTATTAATTTTCAAATGGTTTTCCTTTTATGATTCTGTAACTATGGTCAACAATCTTTGCACCAAAGTATGTCATTTCGATATGAATGATCATTTAAATTGTATATTTTATCTTCAAAAAATTACACAAGATGACAATGTAACAGGAGAGAAGTTGACTAGTGGAACTAGCTGTCAAAAAGTGAGAAAAATATACTAAAAGGAGCACAGGTTGCTCAAGTCCCTGTCAAGTTGGAGCCCGAGCAGACGCCTCTGCGGGGGTCTCGGGTACGAGGATGCGGGCTCACCGCACTGAACGAGGGTCGAGGCTTGAAAGACACTTCAATGCCAACGGGAACGTAAGCCACACATTTCTTTGAAAACCGGAGATGTGAAGTGACTTCAACGTCTCCATAAGAAAAAAAAATCCATCTATTGAAGTTCAAGTTAAAATGTAAGTGTGAGATGTGAAATTGTAGACAGTACGAACATTGGATTAATGCAATCAAAATGTAGCATAATGTAATATTATGGGGAGTTAAATACCACAACCTACAAGCCTATACAGCATAAACAATTGGAGCACACGAGTGGGGCCCTATGGTGCAGATAGTAGAGATGGATGCTATTTTAGAATATAATAGTGATACATTATTCATCCCCAAGGAGAAATAGTTTTTCCTCCTATCCCATCATGCTCTCCATGAGACACACATACAGCACCCCTGGAGCAATTTGGGGTTAAGGATATTGCTCGATAGTAGCATCAGTCTGTTGGCTTTGGGATTTGGACCAGCGACACACGGCGCTAACCAGACAAAACAAGCAAGAACATGGCCTGTCTCTAACTGCACTCTGAGTACCATCAGCAACAAATTCAGACAGTGAGTGAGACACTGAGACCTCAGTGACATGCATTGGAAATAAAAAAAAAGATCAGAAAATGAGGACAGTATTTTGTGGCGAGCTGTTACATCATCTGACAGAGTTTGACTTGAGTAGTACACTGATTATCATTTATCAAAACATGGGCTGTGGTGGTGAGCGGCTCAGTGGGCGAGGTCTCTGGGTCTACAATCGGAACATCATTGGTTCGAGCCCTGGTCACAGCAGAATAGTTACATGTCTGTGGGCCCTTGACCAATTGCCCTTAACCCCCAGCTCAAGGGGCACCACCTGTTGGCCTGTGACCCTGTGCTCTGACCCTCAAGATATGAAAAGCAAGATAGGGTAGGTGAAAAGAAGGATTCCAATAAATAAAAGATTATTATAATTATTACATGTTTCTAATGCCTGATGAACCATAGTAAGACCTTCTCCAAAGCTTTTCTGCAGTAGCTCCATATCTCAGCCCACCCCCAGAACGAAGCACCTGTCAGTCTAATGCGCACTTGCTCAACTGGGACGCAAGCTGCACCAAGCTCATGCACCATCGGTCGCACACATAGTGGGGAGGTTTATATGGCTGTGACCTTGTTGTTTGGATACTTGACACAGGCACGGGAAAGATCTACCTCTCAAAGAGCTACCCCAGCAAGACTAGGGTTGAACACCCAACGATACACTCAAAATGTTATTAGACTTCACGAACTCTGCTTGATCACTGTTTAATAGCTAAACTCAAACATTTTTGACTTTTAATATTTTAGATGCAAATAGTGGTATTGTATTATTTAGTGTTCTTTTATTGCTTATCTTCAAATTTTCAATTAAATTTTTTATTGTTAAGTTGCGGCCATTGTTTTGGGCTATTTGGCTGTTTCAAAGGCTCAATCTAACAAAAGTGCAATTTTTTTCAAACACAAAAAAGCATTTTTTTTCAATTAGTTGGAATTTTCATTATATTGATTATGACAAGTACCAAAATAAGTTTCTCATGAAGCCTGCTCTGTATTTTTAAACGCATTATACTGCTTCCTAATAGGCTTGATCAGAATAACCGTCAAAATAATAGCCATTAGAGACCCAGCTTATGACAATTGGGAATATTTTCAATATTTTTACCATTATATACATACAGTATGCTTAATACATTTATAGCCAGTACAATAACACTACGTTATAACAAGCAAGAAACAGATTATGACCTTTTTTACTTTTACAGGTTACAAAGGTATATTCTGTACATGTGCAAGTTTAGGAAAGTTTTATTACTGCTTTTACATTTAATAAATGTTAATGACTCCAAAGCTGCATAAAGAAGAAGAAAACTGTGCCGGATCACACTGTACCACCTACCCCTCCTCCAGCTCACCCACTCATTTACTCAATCTAAGGTTCACTCTCATTCTTCTTCATTCAGATCATTTTCAGTTTTGTGTGAAATATTCAAAAGCATTTAAAGGTTGAAATATTAAAAATAATAATTGCTACGAACCACATAGTCAATATACATAGGTAACTAAATACGTGGTATAATAAGGAGAAGGATTTATATCAGCGATATTTAAAAAAATACATATTAAAAAATCTTTTCCTCAGTGTGAATATGGTTTTGAGGAATCACTGTTATATCAGAAAGTATTGATACAAAATTTCATTATAATTTAAAAAATTATGCGTCTTCCAACTATTTGGCAAAAAAAAAAACTTCCTCCAAGGTAAATTTTTCAAATTCAGATTTTATAAATGGGAATAGAGAATCCAAAATGATGATTACTGACAAACATTTTGCTTAACATAAGCATCATTCTCAAAGAACTTATTTTATCCTGAAAGTATTAAAGAACACATTTACAAACAATTCAGTTTAAAATGAAAATTTTTTATTGCATAGTCTTAAAAGGAAGTACAAGCGAAGTTTTAATTAAAATGAACATCTCGAGTTAGATCTAATAAAATAAACTGCAGATAGAAGATAATATACTCCGATATAATTTTAGAAATTTTTACTGCACAGTATTTTGTCTCAATCTGGGGAAAAAAAAAAAAAGTAGCACTTTTCAGGCGTTACTGATTTAAAAAGTACTGGAGCAGCACAAGTTTTGAAGATAAATATACAAAAAAGACTTGACATTTAATTTAATGGGGAGATGTTAAGAGGCACCTGCATTAACCAGACTGAAAACCCCATGAAAGGTGCCGTTTTCATACAAATGGCTTGAATCTCCCTCCTTTTTGGAAACTGGCGTATGGTGCAAACAAGTTAATCAATTCAAAATATTGTCAGATTTTTTTAAACTCGTTTTTAAGGAAAGAATATTCCATCCCTGAAGCAAATGTGTTTTTTTTTAGCATATTGGAATGTGTATGTATACTTCTTACCCACTTAAAATCCTCAACAAACACCCAACAAAAAAGAAAAAAATGAGTAATTAGGGTTCAGTCAGAGTCTTCGTCGTCAAGGTACTCCTCCGCGTTGCTGTGTGTTCGGCTAATATCTGTTAAATTAAAAGAAAGAGAAATATAAAAATACTTCCAACTATATTAACAGAAGAATGAAATTCTGTTTTTACAGTAACGCAACTATATACATTTCCCAGATACTGAATATCACATTTTAGGTACTTATTTTTTAGGTACTCCATTTCTCAACACAGATATTTTGAATATTATAAATACGC